GGTTTATGTCTTTTTACCCTCCCTGTTCCTAATATATTTGCATACATTTAGAACCACATCAAAGTGTTATAATTTTTTTTTAATTTTATTTTTTTCCTTTTTCTCCCCAAAGCCCTCGGGTACATAGTTGTATATTCTTAGTTGTGAGTCCTTCCAGTCGTGGCATGTGGGATGCTCCCTCAGCATGGCCCGATGAGCAATGCCATTTCTGCGCCCAGGATTCGAACCGACAAAACACTGGGCAGCCTGCAGCGGAGCGCACGAACTTAACCACTTGGCCACGGGGCCAGCCCCCAAAGTGTTATAATTTTTACTTCAACCATTGTATGAGTCTGCCTGGGCTCCCATAACAAAATACCACTGACAGTGTGGCTTCAACAGCAGAAATTTATTTTCCCACAGTTCTGGAGGCTGAGAAGTCCAAGATCAGAGTGCCAGCCGATTCCTAGTGGGAGCTCTCTTCCTGGCTCGCAGGTGATCAGCTTCTCTCTGTGTCCTCACATGGTAGAGAGAGAGCTCTGATGTATCTTCCTCTTCTTATAAAGATACCAGCCCTATTCGAATAGGACCCCGCCCTTATGACCTTTATTTAACCTTTATTACCTCCTACAGGCCCTATCTCGAAATAGAGTCACATTCAGGATAAGGGTTTCAACATATGGGGGACACATTCAGTCCATAACAACCATCAAACAGAATTTAGAAAACTCAATAGGAAAAGAAAATTCTATCCTATTTACCCATATTTTTGCTTACTGTGTTCTTTCTTCCTGATGTTCCACAATTCCTTCTTTTATTGGTTCCTTTCTGTTTAGAGAACTTCCTTCTGCCCTTCTTTTAGGTAGGTCCGCTGGCGACAAATTCTCTTAGTTTTCCTTCGTGTGAGAATGTCTTGATTTCCTCTTCATTATTGAAGGCTGGTTTCCCTGGATAAAGGAATCTGGGTTGACAGTACTTTTCTTTTAGCACTCGAAAAATGTTGAGTCACTTCCTTCTGGTCTCCATGGTTTCTGATGAGAAATATACTGTGTCATTCAAATAGGTTTTCCCTTATAGGTAAGATGTCACTTTTATCTCACTACTTTCAAGATTTTTTTTCTTTGTGTTTAGATTTCAGAAGTTTAACAATGATGTGTCTTGATGTGGATTTCTTTGAGTTTATCTCTTTTAGGTGTGTTCAGCTTCTTGAATCTGTAGGTTTATGACCTTTGCCAAATTTGGAACATTTTCAGCCATTATTTCAAGTACTTTTTCAGCCCTCCCTTCTTTTTACTCTCTTTCCAGGCCTCTGATGACACACATATGAGATCTTATAGTCCCGCAGTTCCCTGAGGCTCTGTTCTGTTTTGGGTAGTCTATTTTCTCTCCATTGTTCAGAGTGAATAACATGTATTGTTCTGTCTTCAAGCTCACTGATTCTTCATTTTGCTGTTGAGACCATCCACTAAGTTTTTTATTTCAATTATTGTATTTTTCAGTTCTAAAGTTTCCATTTGGTTCTTTATATCTCCAGTTTCTTTGTTGAGATGTTCCATTTCTTTACTGCAGCTTTGTATTTTTCAGTTTGTTTCAAGAGGCTCATAATTGCCTGTTAAGGGGTCTTTATGATGGCTGTTTTAAAGTCTTTGTTAGGTAACTCTGACATCCTTCTCACCTCAGTGTTAGCATCTACTGATTATCTTTTCATTCAGTTTGAGATCTTCCTGGTTCTTGCTATGATAAGTGAGACTGTGGATATTATTTAAGCCATCTGTTTTAGCTGGTTTTCTCTGACACTGTTCCAAGAGCAAAAGGGAGGGATGCTGCCTCAGTACTGCTAGGTAGAAGTCCAGGTTTCGCGCTCTGCCTCCATTGACACCCAAGTCAGGGAGAGGGGTTCCTCATTACTGCTGGGTGGGGGTAGGAATGCTAACTCCCAACTAGACCTCCACCGATAGCTCCCTGGCTGGGAGGAGTAGGAGGGTCTTGTTACTGCTCCCAACGTGGTCTCCACTGACATCATGGGAGAGGACTGCCTCTTAACTGCCAGCAGAGATGAGAGTTGTGATTCCCTATGTAGCCTTTTCTGACACCACACCAGCAGGGGTAGGAGGGTGCCTTATTACAGCCTGCTGAGGGTAGAAGCCATAGTTTTTTTGGTGGTGTTTTGCTGCAGTAGATTGATTATTTTCTACAAGTTTTCTGTCTTGCTAGCCTGCTCCTTTCCTGGTCCTACAGCTAGAGAGAACATGATTTTGTTGGGGTTTTTTTATGTCTACATCTGTTGGCATTTCTGGGTTGCTGGCTTCTCAAGCACTCAAGCACTCAGTCTGAGATGTGTGCTGAAAAGAGAAAAAAAGAAAATCCAGGGAACTCACTGCTGTGTTGTTTTTTGGGTTCTGAGCTCCCTAACCTGTGTGTTTTCTCCTCTCCATTTTTCAGTCTTCTTATGTTCGCTTTATACATAATGTCTTGGGTTATAAGTTTTAAGTGGCAGGAGGAATAGGGAAAGTACATGTATTCCATCTTCCTGGAAGTGCAAGTCCTAGCTCCTCAGTTTATATGGTCCTTGCATATTTCACATTAAGCGGTTTTAAAGCATATCAGAGCTTTGAGATAACTTTTGTAGAAAAATCTAAATTACTTTAGAATGGTTCTAATGAAAAGGCTGATGTTTTTCTTGATGACTCATGCTCTATTTAATTTCATTCAAACTAAAAATTAATGCTGTCTCCTTGGGTCAAACACAAGAAGGTTAGAAACAACTCTGGACCATCAGTTAGAGACCTGGGTTCTAGTTCAGGGTCTTCCACCATCCAGCTGTGTGAACTCAGGCAGATCTCTTGGCATCTCAATATTCTCATCTGAATTAAGAGTGTTGGACTCACTAGATGATCCCTAAGTTTTTTTCTGGCTCTAACATTTGGATTTTCCCTTCATCAATCTATTACTTAAAAAAAAAAAAACCTCCAGACTCCCACTATAATATGGGGTTTGAAATATGTTGGTTAAACCAAGTAAAATCCTCATAATTAGATAAGGGTAACTATTATTTATTGGACGCTTACTGTGATCCAGGCACCACAGTGACTGTTTTACAAATGCTATCCAACCCTCAAAACAGTTCATTGAAATAGAGATCATGCCCATTTTATAGAGGAGAAAACTGAGGCTCAGAAAGGGAAAAAACATGTCCAAGGACATTTTGATTTTAGACCTGATGTTCACAAGCACTTACATACACTTTTTATTTTTATTTTTTGGCTACTTTTCAAGAGGAAAATTATTTTGATCCCACTTAAAGCAAAGGTTCAGGGTAGCTAAGAGATGTATTTTATTTTTAATACCTCCAATCACTTTATTCTGCTTGGATTCATTTTTAAACTACATAGGTTATAAATCCAGAAAATATATACACACAGCTAGTTTTTTTCTGTTTATTCTTATTATCCACCACTTATTGATCAGATATAGAAAGCATCATTCCCCTTGAGAGGTAAACGAGTAAACTCAGCATTTTAAATAATTATCCCTGAAGAACAAAAATTTAATTTGCCAACTTTCCATAAACTTTAGAGTGTGTCAGGGGAGTTCCAGGAACTAGAAGAAATATGTTATCTTTATGCATAAGTTTTACACCCTTATGGAGATGGATAAGGAATCATTTGTAAGACTATTTGAGCTAATGGAAATGTAGAGGTCAGAAGAAATATAAAAATAAGAAACAGAGAAAATCGGAGAAGAGAGAGAGCAGACAACGCCGAATGTAAAAGTATACAATAATCTAAGCCCTCGACATGACACTAACTCCTAAAAATATTTTGTAAAAAATATTGTTTGGTTTTAAATAAATTAAATGAGCATGTATTATAAAATGAACTATTGAATACTCTGCAATTTGTTGAGATCTTATTTTTTCTTAGCATCAAAATTGTGTTGAAAAAAGATTTACCCTCTTAATTGAAATCAATTCTGTAAGTTTGTGTAGATGCCTGGTATGTATTTATGTGGCAAAAGACCCCGAAGCACTTATAATATGATTAACATGGAAGGGAGCAATAACAATATGAGAAGCAGGAATTCATAAATTATTTTACTCATTTCTTTCATTATGAAGTCCCCTTACTGTTCTGCTGGCTTTCTCTGTGAGATTTCATATGTCACTATGCAGGGGCATTCCGATGGAATTTATTCAAATCTCATATTATTGTGTGTTCCCAGAATTATCAAGAGAACTAATTGTGTTGTAAAGAGTTGTTGTAATATCATTTCTTTATAGGGACTCAGGACGCTGGTAATTGACTCTATCATCTTGTTCTGAGATCAGCATGTGCTTTTCTAGGAAAATGATTTTCTCTTCAGAAAGTTACCATGGTTTTGGAAGGTAGAGAACTGTCTCCTGGTGGGAAGTTTTGTTTTTGCCATAAACCCACTGTATGATGAGGGTGCTCTCGTGTAGAGAACCACTTTCAAAGTATTTTTGTCTTAGTTTTCATTGAAACGAAACAAACAAAAATATTATCTGGTTCAAACAAAATATTATCTGTAAGTCCAAGCTAGGACAGATGAAAACAGCTCAATTCTGGGTGGAGTGGAAGTAGGATTGGGGTACAGCTCTGTCCCTCAGGCACTCCATTCATGCATAAAGCATTTTCTATTGAACCTCTTAGAGTCTGGGCAGTACAATGTGAAAAAACTGCAGCGAAATATAAAGATCACTAGATTAGGGACCCAAAGACCTAAACCATAGACCTAGTCCTGCTGTCAACAAGCTGTACTACTGAACCCCTGTGGGTCCAAATTTCCTCATTTGTGAAGTAAGGAGATTGAGCTAGGTATCTTTCAGTTCAAATATTCAAGGGAACCATTAGCAACTGTATGCAAATCGTAAAACTTCTGTGCTTTATCAGTTCTCTCCTGCAAAATAAGATGCCCACTGAAGGGTAAAATTTGCATGCCTACCTCTAAGTTCTAAGCATTAGGAGATGGTTTTGACCTTAAACATTAAGGGAGTGAAGAGAAAATCGCAATATGAATGTAAAATATAAAATTGTCCTCTTCCAAGAGATTTCAGTATGTTTCTTTCTCACCTCATTTCAAATAATTAGGAGTATTTCATGGATTTACTCAGCAACCGCAGAGTGCCCACTCTCTGACAGGCACCGAGCTAAGGACTGAGGATAGAAAAGACCACTAAAGAACGTCCGCTGCTCTATAAGCCTTCATAATCCCCTCCCCTCAGATTCGAAAGGTAACGCGTTCTTGACAACGTGTTCTTTTCAACAGAACCCTCTTGATTGTCTGCGATGCTGCGTCCTTTCTGAATGATAGAGATGGCGCTGCAAAGGGACATATTAAAACTAAATGAAAAGGGAAGTGCACTCACGTGGAAAGAACTATATATTTAGAAACAAGGAGATTTTCTTTCCGGAGAATGGCTTTGTTGTGACTGATCTTTGATCAACTGGAGCAAAGAGTATTTCGTTTTATAGGTATAATAGGCTCTGCTTTCCCGAGAGGCACAGGATCCCTCAAATCTGAAGACGGGTCCATTGTGTCGAAGGGGACAAGCTCACGATGCCGCCCAGACCACCTGGATGCTTCTGGATTACTGGTGGTGGCTTGAAATGCACCGGGGCCAACGAGGGAAGAGTTGAATGAAGATGCCAAAAGAGGCCTTTGAAGGTTCGGAAGGGAACTGTGAAAGGCCCATTCCCTCTGGACTTAAGCCCAATTCCCTTGCTGCGGGCACAAGCGACAGCCCTTGGGCAAGACTCCCTTTGTTATCCAGACTGGTGGGTCTCCCAGCTCAATGCACAAACGCACACCCACTCACTCCGAGAGGGGCTCTCCCCAGGGGGCAGCCCAAGGCCACCCCTTCCTCTGGACACGGCACCCAGCCCACGTCCCCACCCAACTGTTGACCCGCGACCAAGGGCCACCAGCTCCACCACCCACCCCGGCACCATCTTCCAGGAACTGGCCTCTCCCCCGGCCCCGCCCTCTTCGGAGAGCACCCAATGGGTGGGGCCGGGGCGGCGGTGGGCGGGGCCTGAGGCGGGCCCATTTAAAGAAAGGCAGAGGGCGAAAGGAGGCAAGAGAGGAGAAGAAAGAGAAAGCTGGGGGCGCGGCGCCGTCCAATGACAAAGCCCAGGGGTGGGCGCCGGCCGCCATCTTGCACCGGGCGGCCGCCGAGCCACCCGCGCCGGCCGCCCTCCGAGGGGGCGGGGGAGGGGCGGCGGCGGCGAGCGACGTGGGAGCCGCGCCGGGCGGGACGCGGCGGCAGCGGGAGCCGCGAGCGGCGCGGCCCGAGCGGCCTCCGATGCGGCGCGGCGCGAAGAGGCGGCGGCGCCGGCCCCCGGCCGCCCCGGGTGCGGGCGGCGGGCCCGGGCTGGAGGCGCGGGAGGAGAAGGTGGTGTACTCGCGCTCGCAACTGTCGCTGGCCGACAGCACCCAGGCGCTGGGCGACGCCTTCAAGCTCTTCATGCCCCGCAGCACGGAGTTCATGAGCTCGGACGCCGAGCTCTGGAGCTTCCTCTGCAGCCTCAAGCACCAGTTCTCCCCGCACATCCTGCGCAGCAAGGACGTCTACGGCTACTCGTCCTGCCGCGCGCTGGTGCCCGAGCCCGCGCCGCCCGCCGCCCGCCGCCCGCCGCGCAGGCCGGCCCCGCGCGCCGCCGCCAGGAGGAGGCGCCGCCGAGCCCCGGGCGGCCGCAGGAAGCCGCCGGCGCCGCCCGCCGAGCCCGAGGAGAGCGGCGCCGCGCCGCCCGCGCCCTGCTTCGGCGGCCGCAGCCTGGAGGAGATCTGGAGGGCGGCCACGCCGACGCTCACCACCTTCCCCACCATCCGCGTCGGCGGCGACGTGTGGGCCGAGCGCAGCCTGGCGGCGGCGCGGCGCCGGGCGCGCCAGGTGCTGCGCGTGGACCTGGAGCCGGTGGTGCGGCTGCGGCGCTTCCCGGTGCCGCGGGCGTGAGCCCCCCCGCCCCCCGCCGCGGACGGCCGCGCAGGTGTCAGTCGAGTGTTTACAGATGCGACCCGGACCCGTCCCCTAGTGCACTTTACGCGCGGAGCAGGCCCCGGAGGGCTGTGCCGCCGCGCCGCCGAGGGGGGCCGCTGCCCCGCCGGGCCGCTCCCCCGGCCTCCCCGCCCCGCCTCGCGACGTCTCCAGGACTGAAGGGGCCGATCCGTTTCCTCTCTTGGACTCTACCTCACTGGTCTGGAAGTCCTCCGAAGAAGTTACTATTTTTCCAAAGGAATTCGGTTTCGTCCTTGGGTTCTAAAGCCAGAATTTACTTGTTTTGGACCCCACCCCCACGGCCACCCCGCTTTTTCCTCTTTTTGACTGCCACCCCTCTTTCTGGACGGAAGATCGAACGTGTCTTGCGGCGTTGCACTAGTTCGCGCTCAGGGTATTCTGAAGCCCCCCTCGCTTCCTCGTTCTAACTGGATTCCAAAGCTTTGACCAAGGATATTTTCTAAGAGATTCAAGCTTGTGACTGTTCCTAGTGCAAGGGTGAATTTCATGGGCTCAGTGAACACAAACAAAGAGATGCAAAGTACAACTGTTTAAACGTTTTTAAGGTGTTTCTAAAGATTTTATATTGAAATTTAATGTTTATATTTACTGAGCTCCTCAAGAAAATGGTAGAAACTCGTATAAAGTTTTGTTTAGGAGAAGTTGACTTGTTGAATCTTTTTCAATTGAATAAAAATTAAAGTGCATTGAAACCACATGGCTTGTGATTAAAAAAAAAAACCAAATGAAGGACTTAGAAAGATCTGGTGTTGGTTAAAGAGATGGATCAAACCCGATTGGAAATGATTTGGCCTCCTTGTACTTGTCTAACGTACAGATACAGGAATATTTTGAGCGTAATTTATTTTAAAAGGACAATAGCATAGAAGTGAATGTGTGTAAACTTTGTGATTGAAATGACAAACAGAATACCCATTAGAGTTCTCAGATCTGTTAATGATCTAGAGGGGTGGGGGCATTTCTTGGTATCAAATTCCTGGTTGAGGTTACTTTGGGCAAAGTAGATCTCTCCTTCCTTTTTGTTTTGGTTGTTGGGTAACAAGAAATGTCCAGCTTGCTGTCCATCACTTTTAGAAACGATGATTAGTTGACTTTTTTTGCTCCACGAGTTTCCCTTTTTGTCTGATTTCCCTTCATAATTATGTTTGCAGTTACCGGTCTTTGACAGCCGAAGACCACAGGAGTGGAGCAGGCGAGCCACCCAGAGTACTGACCCTTCTTTTCCGTGTTTATAATAGTGTTTCTACCATATGGCCCAGTGTGGGATTCTTGATCATCCAAGTGCCTTTGGTCATTGGTGGCAGCAAGACTTAATGGTTTTAGCCAGTGGTGCCATGGCCATATTTTACTGCAATATCTAAAGGTCAAGTAGTGTTTTTGTACCACTGTTATTTCAAGTGTAAGTATTCTGCCACGGAACGATCCACACCGGGCTGGAACTTGACATGTGAAGTCCTCAATATGAAGATTGATCTCTGCTTGGCAACTTCTTAGGAGAATAATGAGTGTTGCAATTGGGACTCTTGTGTTCTTAGAATTCAAATGGCATATCCTTCTGAAATTAGTTTTTCAAGTTTAATAGTCCATAGTAGGGGTTTTGTGACTTTAATTGCAGTGTTCTTGTTTTGTAAAAAAAAAATATATATATATATAGGACTTTATGCCAGTTTCTCAGTAAGCCTCATATTCTTTTATTCACTACTCAATGATAATGCGTTGTTACAAACACTGTCACATGAGTAATTAAAAGTGAATAATGACTTAGAAGATGGAGAGTATTAAATTATATTTGTGTGACAGGAAGTTGATACATATTCTTTTGGTTATTAGCTTCCATTGCCAATTGTATTTCAGACACATAGGGTTTTCTTTGCGCCCAAAATTGTTAACTTTTTTTTAGCTAACTAGCGCCTGAGGGAAAAAAATGTATTTGTACCACTTCACTATTGTATATAATTTTATAATAATTAAAAAATAAATCCAATGGCCATATTAGAACGTAATTTCAACATCTAGCTTATCGAAAGAGCTTCCCCAAGGATTTTGGAATTAGACTTAGCTGGGAGGATAACTTTGCTCAGCACGAAACTCAAACATAACCATTGACAGACACCAGGCATTTATTTTAACTGAGATTCTTAACATTTTTCCCTCTAATGCCTTGTTACTTTAGTGCACTTGAACTCGCGTAAATGCTTCTTTGGATTCTGAGCTGTCTGATTTCAGTTTGGATCTGATTGCCCATCCTGAACTCAATATGTTATTTATCCGGTCTATTAACGAATCATACCATTTCTAGTTTGTGAAATAAGATGTAAAAATATCTTTATTTTTGCCAAGTTTTCTTTAGCGAAACCTCGCTAAAGTTAGTTGTTTTACAGCTTCTAAAATGTGAAGAAACCACTAATCTAGTTGATTAGTATAGTCATGGGAAAGTGAAAGTATCTTATGGGTACTTTTGGGCAGAATGTGAAGGAGAACTTGGCACGGTGGCCTTTCTGGTGAGGCATCCATTCGCTGTCCTCTGAAGTGAGGGTGTAGCTTAGCTTGTATATAGTTTTCTAAAAGAAGTCCCTGATGCTTATTCATTCTTTTCCCTTCTCTTCTATCTCATGGCACAAGTAGAGGAGGAAGCTGGGAGGAAGTTTATCACCTTGCTGCGCTTTTACTTAATTTTTCACTCCTGAGTGCCTAAATGTCAAATAACCTTTTGAAATTCCCGATGTCCTTTTGATTTTCCCGTCAACCAGCAACTTATTTTTCCTTACTGAAACCAGTGAGTAATGTCATGATCGTCGAGGGCAAGGTTCATTGTTGATAGTGCAAAGTGTCGCTGTTGTGGTGTGTATTTATTTTGTCCAAGTTTGAGTAGCCTGGTGGACAAGTGTCACTGAAGCTGGTGGCTACACCTATTGATTTGCTCTGTGCAAACGATAGTACTATTTTTCTGGAAACTCTTCAATAAGGAAACATGAGAAATATTTGAGTACAAAAAAATCGGAGCAATTTCGAACTCAAAAGGTTTTTTGTTGTTTTAAGGGTTGCCACAGCACTCTTTAAACTGGTGGTTTTTAGTGGACACATATACATAATATTTGCTTTATTGGTGTGTTTAAAATACTTTTTCGTAGGCTGTTCTGTCTTGAGTGCATTAGAAGGCTATTGTTTGTAATGGAACCGAATTGTTTCCTTGGAGTTTGATGTGCATATAAGATTTACAATCTGATTGTACTTTTTAACTTATTAACTGTAAATAAATTTTAGAGAATACACAGTGTCTGATTTTTCTAATGATGCTGAAATTTTTGAAATAGGATTTTACGTTTGCATGTGAATTGGAAAGCGTTTTAATTTACAATTTGATAAATTTTGGCTTTTTTTGTGAACTTCAAACTCTTGGAAGTCTCGAGATATGTGTTTTGTGCTATCTTGGGAATCTATGTTACGTCACCTCGTTAATGATCGAGTGAATCTCCAGGAAAATGTATCATGCCCTAGCCCAAGCCATTACCCAGTTTGCCAGCAATAAAGCCTTTAAAAATGCATCAAAATTCAGTTTTGAGTCCTGACCCCAAAGTCCCCCTTTGGTGGTGGTGGGAAAAGGTCTGAAGCTCGCATTCTTTCATTTTATGAAAGAAAGGAAGAGTGTTCCATATAGGTAGCAGCATGGAATGAGAGTAGAGCCACAATTTTCCTTACAGTCGAGAAGGTGGAAGTGGAGGATGAGCAAGGGCAGGATTCATAGCACTATGTGGCCTGAATTCGTCTTTGTACCTGCGTTTCTTCCTACTAATGTTGGGAGGCAGCGTCATAGAGTATCTGTGAGTCACGGTGCCTGGGGTGGACCTAAGCCTTCACCTCTTGCAAGCGTTGGAACTCTCAGTAAATTATCTAAACTCTGTGCCTTAGCTTCCTCAGGTAGCAAACGTGGTTAGTCAAAGAAACTATCGGGCTTTTGAAAGAATTAAAAGGGATGGTAATGGTGGACACAGAGGAAATACTTAATAAATGCTGTTAATTGGAGGCATGTGTGCTGAGAATAAGTGTGTATGCTGAGAGTGGTCCTTTGGGACTGTCACCTCCCTGGAATAGAGTGTGCTCTGGGAAAGCTAAAAGACAAATTAAGAGAAGGTAATTTGTGGGTGAATTAAATAGAAGGCAGAGAAATCTCTATTTTTTTAGCCTGCTGACAAAGTATACAGCAGGAGGTTAGAAGAGGTGGTTTCATTAGACAGTTTTCACTGTTGGAGGTTTTCTAGGCTTTCTTAAAAACTTGGGGTCTTCTTTTATCATATTCCTGAAAGGTATTTAAAATGTGCTATTATGTATTTTAAACTGGGAATTTATCAAAGTAATCGTTGAAGTTATTGATCCAAGAACTTGCACATTTCCACACTAAATTCTCACTTGGATTAAGTTCAGTAAGGGTTGCTTAAGAACCACGTTAATTTACATATACGGAACTAAATTATCATTAATTTCTGTGAGGTTTGTCCTTCCTGTGTTAAAGGAAACAAATGAGTACAATAGTTAGGTTTGAAACAGCAGAACATTAATACCAAAAGTAAAAAGTACCCTCATATTTAAAGCATTGACACACGCATCTTCAGGCTTTGGGTTTGAAGCCTGTAATTTAGCTCTGTTTCCTCTTAGCACAAAGAATGATAGGACATATTCTAACTTGATGAGCAAGCCAAAGTTGTAGTATCTGAAGTTGACATACAAGGATTTCCTTAGATGGAAGTCATGCAGCAGTAAGAAGCTCAAACTGTGGCTGATGCCGATTTCACAAGAGCGATTGTTTGTCATGTTGGTACTCAATCGTCTTGGTACATGTCGTCCTGAACCACCGTCTATAACGTGGTAAACTTATCCGGAGCCCAATTGGAAGGTAGCGATCCTAACACCAAGCACTGTGGCTGGCCCAGAAGTTTAAGTCAATATTCTACTGACCTCAAAACTCGACTTCTTTTGCTTGTGAAAGCTTTCACAGAAGTGTTGTTGCATTGAGATTCTTGCAAGTACTGAAATTCCCTGTAAAATGTACATCTATTTCTCTCTTCTGTGGTTTTTTTCAGGTACGTCGTTGTTTTACTCTAAGTGTTTAGTACAAAGAGTATAGAAAAACGGGTGTGACTTAGGGTTCTAAACTCTCAGGTTAAAAAATTATTGAAGCATAATATACATAGAAAAAGTATATATGTTACATGTATTATAAGCACAGCTTGATGAAATTTCATAAATTCAATATACTTGAGGAACCAGCACTCAGATTAAAAAACACAAGACATTACCAGTATGCCAGAGGACTCTGTTATGCTCTTTCCAGTCTCTACCCATCTTCCCTCCAAGATAACCATTATTCTGACTTCTTAGGGCATAGTTAACTTTTGCCTGTTTTTGAACTTTATATAAACTGAATTATGCTGTCATATGCCTAGCTTCTTTCACTCAAAATTACGTTTGCGAGACTCATTCATGTTATTGCTTGTAGTTGTAAATCATTTCTCATTGGTGTGTGGAATTCTAATGCATGAATATTCTACAATGTTTCTGCAACTCTTGATGGGCATTTAGGTAGATTCCAGTTGAGGGCAATTATGCATAAAGCTTCAGTGGGTGTTGTAGAACATGTGCTTTGGTGAACAGATTGTTTTTTTGGAGTATATGTCTAGGAGTGAATTTCCTGGGTCACGTATTACGCAAATGATCCATCTTGGTAGATCATGCCAAACACTTTTCCAAAGTGGTTATACCAATTTACATGAACCTTTAGAGGAGTGTAAGAGAGTTCTGGATACTTCATATCCTTGCCAACACCTAGTATCTTTGGTCTGTTTCATTTTGGCCGTCATGATAGGTAAACAGATTTCTTTAAAACTTAAAAACATTTTAATCCAAGTAATGTATACACATAGTTTAAAAAACAAAACCACCTGAAATAGCACATGAGGATTTACAATAAAAAACAGAAAGCCCTGCCTCACCCACAAACACCCCTTTCCTAGAGGCAACACTTTTTTTTTTAAAAGTCAAGTTGTTTTTAATAGGCTGTTTTTTAGGGAAGTTTTAGATTTAGAGACTAATTGCCCGTAAAGGACAGAGTGCCCTGCCCCCATCACCCCCATTTCTACAGTTATTAATATCTTGCATTAATGTGGGTACATTTGTTATAACTGATGGATGAGCCGTTATTGATACTTATTATTAACTAACATTAGGGTTCACTCTCTGCGTTGTACAGTTTCATGAGTTTTGACAAATGCATAATCTCATGTGTCCACCATTACAGTGTCATCCAGACTAGTTCCACTGCCCTAAAAATGCCCTGTGCTCCACCTGCTCATCACTTCTCTCCCCGTGAATGCCTGGCAACCTCTGGTCTTTTGGCTGTCTCCATAGTTTTGCCTTTTTCAGAATGTCGTATAGTTGGAATCATAAAGTCTGCGTATAGCTTTTCCAAATTGGCTTCTTTCACTTAGCAATATGCATTTACGTTTCCTCCATGTCTTTTAGTTAGCTCCCTCCCATCCTCCCTCCCTCCCTCCCTTCCTTCCTTCCTTTCTTTCATTAATGGAGTTTATTTTTTTAAACAGTTTTAGGTTTACAGTAAAATTGGCTGGAAAGTACAGAGAGTTCCCGTGTAACCCTCCCCCCACCCCCAACACACACAGTTTCCCGTTATTAATGTCTTGCGTTAGTGTGGTGCATTTGTTACAATTGATTAGCCAATATTGATTCCATTAGTAACTAAAGTCCACAGCACGTCTTAGGGTTCACTCTTTGTGTTGTACAGTTGTGTGAGTTTTGACAAATGCATAATGTCATGTGTCCACCATTATGGTATTATACAGAATAGTTTCACTGCCATAAAAATTCCCTGTGCTCCATCTCTTTTTCTCTCGCTCCTCCCGAGTCCCTGGCAACCACAGGTCTTTTTACTGTCTCCATTGTTTGAGGCAACACTTTGAACTGTTGCAGGTTTTTATTCTTTTGTTGGTTATCTTCATAATTCTAAATAATGTACTGTACTGCTGTTTATGGATTCATCCATTTTAGGCACCGTCTACTGACATTGTATGAAGATGAGACCTCATTCACTGACACTACTCTTCTCTCTTTCTCTTCCCACTATGCTTACATTACTGAATTCCTGTCTTGATTACTGTTTCAGTCAGGGTCCAGCCAGAGAATGAGTCACCATAGGTATTTTACACAGTTACATAAGTGATGGAGATGCCAGAAGCAAACAAAGGGTGGCAGAGTGGCCAGGAATGAGTGTCATCAGCAAGCCGTCTCCACCCCCAGGGCTGGGAAACACAGAACCGTGCCCGGTAGGAGCTGGGATCCCAGGAGAAGGGGCTGCCCGGAAAGGAGCTGGAATCTCTGAGGAGGTAAAATCACGGCTAGAAAATGGAGTGGGAGAGAGAACAATAGCCAGGCTGATAGCCTCCTCCCTGTCTCCCGTCAAGCCGCCATTGGGCAAACCACTCTGGAAGCCAGTTAGCAAGGACCTCAGGAAATGTAGTTTGTAGAAGTTCAGGGGCTGGATCTGAGGGCCAACAGGCATAATGGGTGAACCTACACATGCGTGTTAGTCAGGCTTCTCCAGAGAAACAGTATCAATAGGAATTGGCTCACATGATTATGGAGGCTGAGAGGTGTAGACCCAGGAGAGCCAGTCGTGTAGTTCCAGCCCCAGTCTGAAGGCCTGAGAAGCAGGAGAGCTGAGGGTATAAGTTCCATTCCAAGTGTGAGTCTGAAGGCGGGAGAAGACCAGTATCCCAGCTCCAAGACAGTCAGGCTTAGAGAGTGAATCCTTTGTTACTCAGCCTTATTCAGGCCTTCAAGGGATTAGATGAGGCCCACCCACATTTGGGAGGCAATCTACTTTACTCAGTCTACTGATTCAATTTTTTTTTTTCTTGAGGAATCTTAGCCCTGAGCTAACATCTGCTGCCAATCCTCCTCTTTTTGCTGAGGAAGACTGGCCCTGAGCTAACATCTGTGACCATCTTCCTCTTTTTTGCTGAGGAAGACTGGCCCTGAGCTAACATCTGTGACCATCTTCCTCTTTTTTGCTGAGGAAGATTGGCCCTGAGCTAACATCTGGGCCCATTTCCTGTGCTTTATATGTGGGATGCCGACCACAGCATGGCTTGCCAAGCGGTGCCATGTCTGCACCTGGGATCCAAACCGGCGAACCCTGGGCCGCTGAAGTGGAACGTGCGCACTTAACTGCTGCACCACCGGGTTGGCCCCCTACTGATTC